TCGGCTGATCGCTGTGATTTTCAGAAACGGAATTTTCAGAAAAACAGGTTTAATTAACGGTCACCTCCTGCTAGCGGGACGACTGGCGCTCCCTTTTTTTTTGCCTTTTTTCTTATCACATATTTTAGTAATCTTCATAGATTATGTATCATTCGAAAGCTTACGAACTCAAAATTCCACCTGTGAAAACCGTTTTGAAATTGGACGATTGTGAGGCGAGCAAGGTCTTTTAAACGAGCAGCTTTAAACTCTGTTTTTCTCTTGTGCTCCGCATCATACCCCACGATAACGCTGGATAAAAATAAATAAATAAAAACTTGCGAGCTGTTGTAGTTCACCCAGGACTGGACTTTACTCTGTTATGTAGTTTATTTTGATAGGTGAACTGTCTTTGTAGTGTAGCTCCACCTGCGTGTTCTTAAAGAGAAACACAGTCTTTTCAGCTGGACATTATAAATCGCTATGTTTCTGCTCTAAACTAGTGAATTTTCCCAAGATATATTCAGAGATGATAAACAAGGTGTTATGAACCAATTTTAACAAAAAAAAACTGACATTCAATCTATATTTAGACTTTACTGAAAAAGTACCAGCGCGACATCCGACGGGTTTTCCCAGATTGCATCACATTTTCTCTAAAACTGCAGTGAACCAAAGAAAGTCAAGAACACGGTTTGAAATCGCTGGTGTTTCTGACGTCACAAGCTACCTTGTAACCAATCAGATCAACGTGTGATCGTCAACGAGTGGATCTCTGAGCTGAGTGAGTGAGTGTAGACGTATTAATATGCTCATTTGCATATTAATGGAATCTAAATGAGTCAAGGGTGTTGAGTTACTGTACATTCAAGCTCTTTTAAGACATTCATCTTTTTTTTCCCCAATGATTTCATTTTGGTGATCAAAGATGATTTTAAGATAAAATGATTGACCAAAGGGGAACTTTCTTTAGCCTTACTTAGCATCTACATGTGAACTGTTAGGGTTCAGGTTAGTAGAATAAGTTGACGATTTACTTACAGTATAGTCAGTATAATGTCTGTTGGGGAGCATCAAAATAAAGTGTTATATATAATATTATGATGACTGCATGTTGACATAGTTAGTAGAAAGTCTAAAGTGGAGTATGGAATCAGTCGGAGAGCTCCACAAGGAAACCAGACGACTGCTTAAAGGTGATTTCTAAGTGTGGCTGACACTGTATCTGACGGTGACACTAGTTTGAAGGGCAGCGCTGATCTTTTACACAAACTCTTTAGAGGCTGAAGAGAGGATGGTGATGGCCAGTGAAGCTTAGATGTTATCCCCCTGTCACTGATCTCAGACCCCTGGAGAAGGCCAGACTCTCCCCGGGGCGGGTCTGTGTCACACTGACTTATCAGCAAGATTACTGGAAGATTTTGTAACCTTTGCTAAACCATCCTGGAATTCAGTCGGATGGCTTAGGCTTTATGCAAATGTGAAGCAGGGGAGGGATAGTTTGCACTTTTGTAATGAGTAAGCATTTTCATAAAAGGGAATATGGACTGAAAATAACTTCTGAAAGATAGTTCTCTGCTTGAGGTCATGTCATTTGTCCCTGTCGTGGCTGTTTGCTTCATCGCAGCTCTCCAACAGGCAGTGCTTGTTTGGACCTTGCTCTCATTCTGGACCGTCCTGTTGACTCTGGTTCCTTCATTCTCATGTTGCCTTTAATACACGGGTATATGTTTGAATTTTTGATTCTTTTTTTGCTTATTTTGTCTAGATGTTAGTGTTTTGTAAGGCACATTGACCTTCTTCTTCTTCTTCTTGTGGAAAATATGTTTATTACACAATTTTTACAGAATGTATTATTAATATTAATATCAGTGTATTCTGTAGAAATTGCATAATAAATCTACACTATTTTATTATTATTTGTATTATTATTATTATGATTACATGATGTACAATATTGGATAATAAACACATTATTTATTAGTTTTATTATTTTATATTATTGTTTGGTTGTATGCTATTTAAAGTAGTGCTTTTTATGAAACAATTTGTATAGCATTTATTGTTATAAAAATGCGTTTATTATGCAATTTGTACAGAATGTATGATTATTTTTTATATATATTGTTTTAAAATAGTAGGACAAATGCACACCTTCTATCTATCTATCTATCTATCTATCTATCTATCTATCTATCTATCTATCTATCTATCTATCTATCTATCTATCTATCTATCTGTCTGTCTGTCTGTCTGTCTGTCTGTCTGTCTGTCTGTCTGTCTGTCTGTCTGCCTGTCTTAAATTGCAAGGCACGACTGATCACATGATTCCAATATGGCATCTCCCATTAGGACATGAGGATGAGCTGGAATTAAGAAAAAAACAAATATTCTGAGTACACCTTAAAAAAAAAATGTATTATGCCCATGCTTCTAATGTATTGTGACCAATATAGAGACACTCACTTATAATGACCGAGCATGGAACGGACAGTCGGCTGGTTTTTGTTGTCTTTTCCGCTGATGTACCGGATCTCTCATTTTCGTTTCATTGATATTCCCGTCGGCCTCAATGACAAACGCGAGTGATCCATCACCACTCCAAATGGCAAAATTGACAGGCCTCAAGGGCTTTGAATGCCTGTTCTGCTGACACAAGATTATCACATTTATCCTTTTTTATTTAATCCCTCCAGTGTGACGCTTTTTCATATCCAATGCGTTTGGATGATGCTTGTTCCCGAGACTCTCATTTCTCAAATGTGAATGGGGCGTCAGCAGGTTATAATCAACACGATTAGCATGAAGAGAGATGTTCTCATACTTGTGTGCTTCTTTTTGTGCAATTTACAAACCAACCATCAGCACTACAATCTTTAAATCATCCAGCTCTAACATCCTGAGATCAGGGGCCGCCGTCTGGACAAGCGCAGGGTGTGCTCGTCTTTTAATTCATCCTGACATAGAGCTAATTAGGGATATTAAATAAGAGGAGTTGCCAAGTGAAGGGAGTAAGGACATGGATATGAATCTGTTCAGCGGATGGAGTGCGTGTCTCGTGTCTTTTTCCATGAGTCCAGTGTATTGAAATCATAATGTAGCTCATTATGTGAGAAAACTAGAGTTCTAATATGTTCATTTAAAGACGTATTGGCGTTTTACGATATTTATGTCAGTCATTAAAAAAGCCTAGCTACGTTATGGATTATATTCTACATGTTCAAAGCTCCAGACATCATTATGAGCGAGACTGTTAGCAACTTGCTGAGCATGTGTGAATACTTAAATAATTACAAATGTACTAAGCAAAACTAAAGCCTCTGGGAGAACAGCTAAGTACAAAGATGATGTCTTAACATGTCGGCAAATAATGAATGTAGTTGCATCAGAACCATGTTATTTTCCTTTGTGTTGTTAATGTTCTTGCTGGATTGTTTGATGTAATGAAGTCATTAATCTTGTTTGATAGATCATTTGTTTGTTGCTATTCTTGGCATAATCAATAGTAATTAATAAAATCTTGAGAAAAAAACTGTTTCGTATTTTACATTCACTGAGCTCAATACACTCTGGTTTCTTTGTATAATACTTGTTGGGTCTTCAGAAATAAAGACACAATAAGACGTCCAGTTTAAGGTCTATAAACAACAGCATGAAAAGCTTAAATAGTAGAACTGTCCGTCTAAACCTTCTAAAAGTCATCAGTGAATTCATGGCCTCCTGTTAGTGGGACGTCTGTGTGTAACAGCACAATCGATGTACCTGTCTCTTTATTTCCTAAACTAGTCCCTGGGCCACATTCATTTCTAAGCTCTACCGCTCTGCCCTTGGTTCGGGTCCAACCAGGACATAAAGCATGAATTGGTGATTAAATAACAAATAATTCAAATAAAAATGTTTTGCTTTTGCAACCCATAGCCCTTGGCTTGTCAGCGTGGCTTGGTAATGGTGCCAAGAATAATTTTGTTCACTATGAATTACGAGGAAAAACTCGTTTGCATTCTTGAATGTGTGGTGGATAACTTGTCTTATTCAAGATTGAGAAATCTGCCCGTGGCAAGACTTTCTCAGTCAATAAATGAATAATAAATAATATAATAAAATAAATAGTAAATGACTTTTTAAACTTTTTTAATACTTTTAGTAAGTTACTTTTAAACTTTTTTAATACTTTTATTTAGCAAGCGCAAATTAAATTGATAAAGTAAAAGTAAAAGCATTTTTTTTTTTTTTTTACTTTCTAGGGAATCCTTTCTAAGGGATCCTGAAAAAAAATTATCCAAGTTTCTAAAAAAAAAAAAAAAAACACATGAATAAAAATTAAGCAGCACAATTGTTATAAACATTCAACATTGATAATAATATAAGAAAATGTTTCTTCAGCTGCTAATCAGGACATGACCGGAATGCATTGCTTTTTGAAATATATTCAAATAAATGCTAAAACAATAACTTTTAATAGGGCTTTGAAACAATTAATCGTGATTAATCGCATCCAATATATAAGTTTGTGTTTATATAATACATATGTGTGAACTGTATATAATTATTTTGTATATATAAATGTTTATACGCACACACACAAACACACACAGGCATGTATATATATATATATATATATATATATATATAATATATATATATATATATATATATATATAATTTGTACTATACATACATATTTTATATATAAATAACACATTTTTGTGTGTGGGTGTATTTATATATACAAAGTAATTATACACAGTTCACACACATATATTATGTAAGCACAAACTTTTATTTTGGATGTGATTAATTGCGATTAATCGTTTCACAGCCCTATATAGAGACTTTTTTGCTATATATCTTTATCAAATAAAGGCAGCCTTGTTGGGGCATCTTTCAAAAACAACATACATATCCCAAACTTTAGGATGGCAGTATATATATTTCTAAATGACAGTATATATAATTTTGCAGTCTATATGTATGACGTCACGAATACAATGCTAAAGTGAACTTTTTTTTCTCTCTTTTAGAATTGCAGAGCAGTTCTTGTGGGAACCCTGGCGTCCCGCCTAAAGGCATCCAGTACGGGACGCGCTTTAATGTAGGCGACAAGATCCGCTACAGTTGCGTGACGGGATATGTGCTGGACGGTCACCCTCAGCTCACCTGTGTGACCAACGCAGGCAATGCTGCCGTGTGGGACTTCCCAGTGCCCATCTGTAGAGGTAAGCAACACGTGACGTGCATGAGAGTGTGTGTGTGTGTGTGTGTTTGTGCATTCTGTTTCCCTGCATGAGTCGTTGATGTGTTCCTGTGTTCTTTTGTCCTTGCGGATGCTTGTGCATGGATGGGCGAAGATATGGACGAATGGCTATATCGGCGTACAAGTACTAGGTTATTTCGATTAGAAATGGTGCAGCCTTTCATTCGTAGGCCTCTTGAGCATTAGAATCACATCACATGTCAGCTCTTGTCAGCTCTTCCATTTCCATGTTTAAATCCTCTTCTTGTTTTTCAATCTTCCATTCTTTCATTTAAGGGGCACTTTTGCATCTCTTTGACTTTTTCAATCAGGTTTTGATTCCTCACTTTACTGGCCCACACTATAGGTTTTTCTGCATTATAGATGAGTCAGGACTCTGCGTGTTTGTTGTGAATGCATCAAGATTTATGGTCCCATGTTCAGACCAATTATAATGTGCATTAGCCATGACCATTCTCAAATAAGAATCTCTCCATAGACAGCATGCGCCGGTTTCTGCTCCAGCGTGTTTAATAGAAAGGGGGAAATGACAGCGTCTGGATCATGCTTGCTTTGGTTGGACACAAATTGCAAAGCCAACTGTGCTTGAATAGAAAATAGCCTGAGGTACTAAAATGTGGAGCCTCAACCTGGCCCAGAATGCGGTGCGGTATGGAGGAGCAGACCACTGTGTTTTCTGCACTTGTCATCTGGTGCTTTCTTAAAGGAGCAACGTCATTTTTAAAAATATTTTGTTGATTAAGTGTAGGTTTGCATAGATGTGATTTTCATTTCACATTTTGTAATGCATGTTGGGTTTTGTGTCTGTATTAGACCTTGAATATTCATGAAAGTATCACAGAACATTCTCAATTTTCTACTTTGACTAAAAGTGAATCTTTGTGTTAGATGGTGTCTGCCATTTCTCCCTTTTATGAGCAATGGGGGATTTTTACATAAAAGCGGATCGGAAATTATTTAGCCCGGCAATTTACAGTGACGATTAATTTTAGATTACTTAAACCTTAAGTCAGGAGACCTTTAGAAATACTGCTTTCACAAATGTCAATGTTATGCTAAAATCTGTAATGTATGCAGCTCAGAGTATTTGTGGCACTTTTCATTTCCACGTCTAATTGCATTGTGAATGCTCTGCGTTAAAATTATCTGTGTGTGTAGTTTAGATTTGATCATTGGGTGGTATAGAGTCAGAACCTTTTTAGTAGGGTCCCAGGGAATTCTCCCTTAGTTTGTTTGTTTCTTCATTTCTTTTTGTGGGATCTTACCTATAATCCACACATGCAAAGTTGCTTGATAGCATAACTGCAATAAAGTAATACCCTATAGTTAGAAAAAAATGAAAAAAAATGTTTTCATGAGATAAGGTGTATTTTATGTTGTTTAAGAATCTGGAACCTTGTTAAAGTGTCATGGGACTCAACATGTTCTTATATTTAAAATTATACAGCATTTGTTTACCTTTGTTGCATTAACTTATGTTAACAGAAAAATGTAGTAGTAAATATTGAGATTAAAGGGCACCTATTATGGAAAATTCACTTTTACATAGTGTTTGAACATAAATGTGTGTTGGCAGTGAGTGAGCAAAACCGCCCTAGAATGATAAAAATCCACTAAGTGTCTTTTTTTTTTCTTTTTTTTTTACAATATCAATAAATCATATGCACTGTCTTAGAACGAGCTGTTCTAAGATTCAGCGCTTTGTGGCGTAGAATTGAGCAAGGGGTTTGATTGACAGTGTGGTTGTGGCATAGACCCCGCCCTCTGTGATCTCTACACCATCCTCCATTGTTTCAACGACAGCCGGTAATGTCTCCTAGAAACATAAGTGTTCTGTTGTGGGATGGGTTGTAATAATGACATACATAGTAGTTTCACTTACTTCCGACATCAGAGCCACTGAAAACACAGTGGATGTATTGTATTTTGAAAGTTTAAGTGGCGCCTTTCCTTTCGTAAGTAAGTTTATGTTTGAGCGAATCATTTTCTGACTGACTGTTTTGTGAACGAGGGTCAATTCAAAGCTGGTCTTGCTTCAAAGTAAATCCTCAAGTGTGGATCGCCGTCTACTGTTTGCGATCCAACGTTACTTCCAGTAAGTGTATTTTATGATTTTTGAGCAAATAGTCATTTCCGTCGATGTATGCCAAATTCAACAACAAATGCATCTAAAGTTATTGTCGTCGTAGGATGTCTGTGTATATAATTTAAACCTTTTTTGTATAGTGTGTAACCACACGTTTATATATATTTAAAGATATTGCATTAAAAACTGTGTATATGTTGTGGTTCTGTAAGTTAGCCATCTTCTCACATTTGCCACAGAAGCACCTGTATGACAAGTAAACATGACGCAACAGGTCCCTCGCATAAATGTAATTTCGCTTGTACGTTGCAAACTTTGTCGTAGTTTCAAAAAAATTGCGCCAACGTTAGTGTTTGTGTGTCTCTGTGTGTGTGTGTGTGTTGCATATCCATAATTTCAAAGGGGACCTGATTACAACTCTATAAGTACATAAATGTATCAAATAACCATACCGAGACGTACTGGTCCATTCTCATTTGTGTTTATTCTTACGAAGTCTCTTCGTCATCTGGGTCTGATCAGAGACTATTTATATATTCCGATTCAAACATGTACGGCTGAATGACCTTCAAAACAGGGGGTCTCTCACTCTCTCAGCCCTTCTGCTTAGACCGACTGCCATTGGTATGCAAGCGATGCCCTCATCCAAAGGCAGGGCAGGGATATTTGCATTTAAGGTCGTATGCACCAAAAACAGCTCATTTTAAAAGAGGCCCCAAAAATGACATTTTCAAATGGTTATAATAAATTAACTATGGGGTATTTTGTGCTGAAACTTCACAAATACATTCTGGGGACACCCGAGACCAATATTACATCTAGTAAAAAGGGGCATAATAGGTGCCCTTTAAATGCTGCAGAATTGTTCATCATTAGTTCAACTGATGTTAACAAATTAAACCTTGTTGTAAAGTGTTACATATATATAAGTGCATTTTCGGCATTTTTGTATTTTGCAATTGACTGAAACAAATGTTTCTGTCAGCGGTTTCTAACTTCGGTTTAAGATTTGTTTTCTCAAAATTGCTTGGTTGTGCATATCTCCATTCTTGGATGCCTTTGGCACAGTTGGTCAGTCTGTAGTATAAAGGTGTGAAATAGGCATGACAGCACTGTTGCACAGGAGTTTTTTATTTAGCCAGGTTCGAAACTCTTAGCCCAGACATTACCAAAAAAACACCCAATCTCATACTGCACAACGCTGTGGGACTTGTTCAACATAAAAATATTCTCATTAGAGAGTTAGAGACCCTTAGAGATTTGACATTTTTACAATTCCCTGAGCATTTTCTGTTTTTGAAACTGAGCAATGAAAAAAAAACAAGCCATTTAAACAGTCAGCAGAATCAATGCTGCTTTTTTAAATCATTTAGTTTCTGGGCTTCTTCCAGGCGAGCTCTCCGCATGTTTTATTAACATATTGAGTGGACTAATTTGGTCCAGTAAATTTTGGCTGCTAATAAATGTTTGTGAATGGGCTCAGTCCTCTGCAGAGGTCAAGGATAACAAACTAGTAAACCCAAGCGTGTCTCGGCTGAGGGAATGTTGCTCTGTTAATCAGACAGATGATGTCAGTCAGGCACTGAATTTCAGGTTTGCTCCGATGGCTCAAGCCGAATGAAGTTACCTCTTATCATCGCATGCCTTCGCTGTAAACAAGTCCAAAAACCTCGGCTGGAAACCGATGCCTTTAAAGGTCAAGCATGTAGCGAGATGAAAATAACACCAGTCTGAAGCTGGAACTGTAATGCGAGTCAGTTAATTAACCAAATCGATCATGTCGCTAATGCATGCATGTACGTATTTATGGCTTTGGATGATCTTTACCGTTCTCCACTAGTGCTTATGCTCCTAAACCAATCCTTCTTAGCAAGGCGAAGTGTGAAATGGCTAAAATTATCCTTTGTCGGATAGAATTCCTCATGGAGCATTAAAACGCTGATAATTTGACTCTGAGGGTATGAGCCTTAATGACTGGCTTTTGATGTGCTAGACTTTCATTTTGACAGGCTGAGAGTTGAGACTGGCTGTGGCCTGCAGCAAGCGTGGCTCTCCTTCCCTCTTCATGTCTGGTTTGACAACCATAGGGACCACCTGCTTAACCACGTAAATCCCTGATCAATCCCACACCACTTTGAGCAGGCCTGCCCAAATCAGAGCTGACACCCGCACCCTTCTTAAACGCAGTGCTCTTGCCACGGACTGCTTATGGCACTGACTTGATTGGTTTAGAGAATCTGTCTCTAACTGCACAATTTAAGCCCATGAGGTCCCTGTCATGTCTGACCAAAAAAATACAAATAAAAACGGACAAGACGATGATTTTCTTTCGTTGACCTAACATTGGTGATTCAACAATCTGATGAAGATACAGAACAGTGTTATTTTAGTATTATTTATATACTATTATAGTTTTTATTAATACTTTGAATTACCTTTAATTTTTATTTTTTATATTTTTAGTGGATTTTTTATATATATATTTTTTTTTATAAAATGTATAAATCGGTTCAGTTATAAATTTTAGTACTTCAGCTTAAACTGATTTCATTTAGTCACAAATGCAACATTTATCATTTTTCTTTAGTTCAACAAAAATTAAACACTCTTAATTAAATATATGTCAGCTAACACTCATTACCTTGCAACTACATGTCAAATAACACTCATTTCCTTGCAACTACTTGCAAACTAACTCATTAACTTGAAACTACATGTCAACTAACACTCATTAACTTGCAACTACTTTCAAACGAACTCATTAACTTGAAACTACATGTCAACTAACACTCATTAACTTGAAACTACATGTCAACTAACACTCATTAACTTGCAAGTACATGTCAACTAACACATTAACTTACAACTACTTGCAA